CTACTTCCGTAGTGATACTGCCTCGGAAACCCAAGGAGGGGTCGCTATGAGTCGGGTTTGACTCGACGGCACATAACAACAACAACAACAGATACAAAGAGACAGATGCGTAAGAAAGAATACTATGTGAAGACAGAGGCAGAGATTGGAGTTATGCTGCCATGGAGCCAAGGAATGTCTACTAGAAGCTGGATGAGACAAGGAAGGTTCTTCCCCCAGAGACTTTGGAAAGAATGGCCCTGCTGACACCCTAATTTTGGACCGCTAACCTCCAGAACTGTGAGACAATAAATTTCTGTTGTTTTCTACCATTCAGTTTGTGATACTTATTATATCCATAGGGTGGTAATGGAGTCCCTAGGTGGTGCAGTTAGTACACTGGGCTGCTAACCAAAAGGTTGGAGGTTCAAGTTCACCAAGAGGTGCCTTGGAAAAAAGGTCTGATAATTCTCTTACTAAAAACAGCCATTGAAAACCCTATGGAACAGAGCTGTACTGTGACACACGTGGGTTGCCATGAATCAGGGTTGACGTGACTAAACTGGAGGACACTGATATATATTCAGATCTTTAAAACTGTTCTCATGAGCCTCCTGAGATCTGACCCCCAGACAATGGCCCATCCTCTTCCAGACAAATGAATGAAACCAACAAAGGCTCTGTGGTAGTTAAGGTTATGGGTCAACTTGGCTGAGCCTGGTTTTGAGAGGCTGGGCAGCTGGTTGTAGTATTCCCCATGATGAGACTGGTAATCAACTCCATGGTGGAATCTACTCTGAGCAGCTGAGTAGCTGCCTTTGGGATGTGGTCTGCTCCCAGTACATAAGAAGAAACTTCAGGAATGGTCTGTAGCTTTTTGGCATGCTTGAACCCTGCATTTGGCCAAGTTTTTATCTCAATGGTCTGCCATGTTGTCTGCCAATCTTGGTACTGTTAATGGAGTTGAATTAGTGCCCTGCTGTGTGGTTTGGTAATATTGGAACTGTGCCTTTTTACTTGTCAACCATGGGTTTGTCAGCCTCAGAAGCCAGCAGCTGCCTGAATGAAGAAAGCCTCCAGCTTCAGCATGCTGGGAGCAAGAAGCAGAACTGAAAACCAAGGTCAAGGAGCTCTCACTCAGCCCCTATGTCTTGGCACTTTGAACTTGGACTTCTAGCCTCCAAAACTGTAAGAGAATAAACTCCTGTTTGTTAAAACCATTCCATTTGTGGTATTTTCCGTTAGAGCAGCATGAGGTAACCAAAACAGGCCCCTTGCTGGAGGGCCATCAGCCCCAGGCACAGTGTGGTCCATTCCTCAACTCACAACAGTAACAATCGTGCTCTTACCTCACATACAAATAATGCATAAAACAAACACATAATAATCTTCAATTTGCTCCTCTTAGCAGAAAAATACAACACCCTTTCATCACTGTGATAGGAAGCACGCCAAAGCAGGAGGAAACAAGCAGGCCACTTCCTCTGCAGCTCTTTGCAGATGAGCTTTTTCATCACAAAATGCTCTGTGTAATGTATCATGTTCCTAGAAATGATCAATCCACCCAAGGTGAGCGCTCTTTTTTTTTTTTTTTTCCTTATTTCTTTTTCTTCTGTGTGTGTGTGTACTGCAGAAAAACCTCTTTAAAAATGCAACGTCAGTCTAATTTCCACATTTTAGTCTTTTGTACTTCTCTCGCAAGAGAGGGCTATTGTTGGCTGTGTGATGTGTATAAAGAATAGGCTCAAGCGTCTGGCACCTCAGAGGGGAAAACAGCAGGTCTTTACACTGTTTGAAGACCTGGTCTTTTTTTTTTTTTTCATAACTTTTTATTTTGAAATAATTTCCAACTTATAGAAAAATTTTAAGAATAAGATAAAGAACGCTCATATCCCTTTTGTCCATTGTTAACATTTTACCACATTTATCCATTTATCTCCCTCTCTATATATTTTTTCTGAGCCATTTGAGAGTAAGTTGCAGACAGGATGGCCCTTTATCGCTAAATACTTCAGTGTGCCTTTCCTAAGAACAAGGGTCATCTATAAATAAATACAACACAATTACAAAAATCAGGAAATTAACATCAATACAATACTATTATCTAACCTATAGAATTTACTCAAAGATAGCAAATGTCTCAAGAGCCAAAAAACAAATAAATAAATAAGGCTAGTCCAGAATCCTATTCAGCATCACACATTACATTTATCTGTTATGAGCCTTATGAAAACTGCTCTCAACCTAAAAGAAGACTCTTTGAACATATACTCGGTCCAGAAGCATCCTAGTTACAGTGCCTGCCCACTCAAGACTCATGTGTGGAACTTCTGGAGCTTGCAAGTGAGGCTAACTGATTTTGTATCATCTACCAAACCACCTCCAGCTCTTCACAGATCAATGTTATGTGCTATGCAAGAAGATAACAGAAATATACAGTAAGTTCAGGAGTCCATGGATGGTGCAAATGGTTAAAGTGCTCAGCTGTTAACCAAAAGGTTAGAGGTCTGAGTCTATCCAGAGATGCCTTGGAAGAAAGGCCTGGCAACTACTTCTTAGAAATAGCCATTGAAAACCCTGTGGGGTACAGTTCTACCCTGACACACAAGAGGTTGTCACGAGTCAGAAATGATGTGACAACTGGTTAATTGCACTTGAAGAGCTGACAGGCCAAGGATACCCAGAAATGGCTGATCTTAATCGAAGTTCAGCCACAACACAGCCCCAAGCATCCTTCCAAGATGGGAGGATGGGGTGAATAGAGAAGAGCAGCAAAGTAGCAAATCCCAGACATAGAACCTGAAAGCAGCAACCTGCTCCAGGGTAGAGCTTCTCACAGGTGGAACTGCTTCCACCACTCCCACATCTTTGAATAGAGCAGTACTACTAATAGAGCAGGACTCCTCATACCAGGCTAGCTCGGCCAGTGCTGAAAATAAAACAACAGTGATGTTGCTATCCTGTAAGCTCTTGGCCTAAAGACCATAACAGATCAGCTAACATAAGCCTTTGCAACAGAAGGGTGTGTATTCTCCCCCCCCCCTTTTTTTTTTAATTGTGATTTGGGTGAAGATAACAGTGTGTATTCCATTATTACTATTATATTTCCACCATTCGTCTGTCAGTTTGTCATACTGTAGTGGCTTGCATGTTGCTGTGATGCTGGAAATTATGCCACCAGTATTTCAAACACCAGCAGGGTCACCCATGGTGGACAGATTTCAATGGAGCTTCCAGACTAAGAATAGGAAGAAAGGCCTAACAATTTACTTCTGAAAATAAGCTAATGAAAACCCTATGGATTACAACAGAATACTGTCCAATACACTGCGGGGTATCATCAGGGAAGACCGAATGCTAGAGAAGGATATCATGAGTGGTAATGTGGAGGGCAATGAAAATGAGGTGACCCCTCAACGAGAGGGAGTGACACAATGGCTGCAAAAATGGATTCAAACATACTGATTTATCATTAAGATGATACAGGATTGTGTGACATTTCATTCTGTTGTATGTAAGGTAGCCATGAGTCAGAATCAACTCAGTGGCAACTAACAACAACTATATACTCAATAAAGGTAAAAAACTTGAGGAATCTCATTCAGTATGCCCACGCCACTTAAAACAGCTGCCCATGCAATCCAAGGTACAACAACTGGTCTCTATTCATCTGGAACAAAAAAGGAAGAAGAATCAGTAGCAGGAGGAAGATGTGGAATGTATGGCTAATTGCCTCCAGGAACAACTACCTCCTTTGCCATGAAACCAGGAGATCTGGATATTGCCCAGCTACCATTACTGAACATTTTGACCAAAGATTCCACAGAATACTGATCAAAAGGGGGGAAATGTAGAACAGAAGTTCAAATTCTCATGGGCTCTAGACTTTCTAGAGCCATGGAAGGTGGATGAACCCCTAAAACTATTATCCTGAGATAATCTTTAATCTTTAAACCTAAAATATCCCCTAAAATATTCTTAAAACTTAACAATAGTTTAGCTTAACTAGTAAAAACATGTTTGCCTTGAGCATTATGCTCTTTTAAGAACTATCCATATCAAATTGGCAGCAGCAACTCCAAAGATAAAGAAACCATAGGGGGCAGTGAGTTTACATTAATGAGAAAGGCACAACTCAGAATAGGGTGAGAAAGGATGTCTAAGTCAAAGAATGTAATCAATGTCTCTAAATCACACTCGTAGAAATGGTTGAATGGGTATACATTTCTGTATATATTCTCAACAAAAACAAAAACAAAATAAATAAAGTTTAGGGGTAAAAAAAATAATAGCTGCCCAGAGTGATGAACTGAGTAAAAAGCCCAAGCCCGAATGGCCTTAGCTGTGTTTTCTGTTGTTACAAAAACTGACCTGATCCAAAGTCCACTGTGGCGTAGAGGCCCTGCAGTGTCCCACACTGCAGAAATCTTTCATTTGCCCCATCGGTGGTGAACAGAAGCACATCATCACCTAGGTGGTAGCGGAAGCGCTTCTGCAGGAAACGCAAGTAATCATAATCACAGGTAAAGTAGCTGCCATATTCATTTTCTACCTGCAAATTAAAAGAGAGAAAGGAAACATCAGGAGATTCCAATGTAGCCATTCTAAGGCAAGTTTCTGTTTGGGAAAATATCTGAGCAACTGCTGAGATGATAAGGTTTATGATCACCTAATATATCTCCTACTCTCAGTCCTCAAAACTCATTTTCCAAAAAGCAACTTGGCATGAAATCTTACCTTATACTATACCCTCCAAGGAGCTCTGGTGACACACAGAGTAAGGCATTTGGCTGTTAACCAGAAGGTCAGTGGTTCAAACCTACAAGCTGCTCTGCAGGAGGAAGATGGGGTAATCTACTTCTGTAAAGATTTATAGCCTTGGAAACCCAATGGGGGTTGCTATGAGTTTTTTTGTTTTGTTTTGTTTTGTTTTGGACTATCCCCTCCAGAAAAAAGGAAACAAATACAAACACCAAATTAGGTCTCAAAATGTAGCGATACCAAAAGAACCAAACTCACTGCCACTGATTTGATTCTAACTCACAGCGACCTTCATTGGGTTTCCAATGCTACAAATATTTACAGAAGCAGACTGTCTCTTCTTTCTCCCATGGAGCAGCTGGTGGATTTGAACCAATGACATTATGGTTAGCAGCCAAATGCCTTAACCACTACACCACCAGAGCTCCTTAGAATGCAGTGATAGTTTCCCCTATAATGGATATTTCAAGTATCATTATATATTCACATGGCAGAAATCAACTGCTAACCTAAACGGTGGTAGTTCAAACCCACCTAGTGTTATCATAGAAGAAAAGGCCTAGTGATCTGCTTCTGTTAAGATTATAGCCAAGAAAACCCTACCAAGCAGTTCTGCTCTGTCATATGGGGTCACCATGAGTTGGAATTCACTCAATGGCAACTAACATCAATAGCACAGCAGAAATATTTCATAATAGATGCTACAGGCAGCATCTTCTGATCTCTTCCAGTCTCACAAGGGGGAAACAGAATCACCATCAACAGCCCAAGAGTTATTCCTTTGAGGCCAAACATGCTGCCACCCTCCAGCCTTTTACCAATCCTCCCACAGCACTCACTACTTGTCTGCTGGGTTCAATAATTTGTTGCAATGGCTGCACAGAACTCACAGACAATACTCACAAGTATGGGTTTTGTTAGGGAAGTAACAGGCTACAATTCAGGTTCAGGAATGCACTCAGGATACAGTTCTTCAATCAGGACAGTCTTCCCTCTGGTGTGCCCTCAGACATGCCTCTCTGCCCCTTGGCCTTTTGGCCTGGCCTCTGTCCTGCTTGGGCAAGTGTTACAAACCTCTTTTAGCTCTGCCAATAGATACACTTCTGTGTACCCCATTCCACCAGCAAGCCTCATGCTCAAGGCATTCATCGTTCTCACTCCATGGGCCAGAAAGCCCACTGTTCTGTCTCCTGCTTCTTGGTTCCTCTGACACTGTCTCTCAGCCAGGCATCTCTCTCAGCCAGCCATCTCTCTCAGCCAGGCATCTCTCTCTGCCAGGTCTCTCTCTCTGATGGGCCTTTCTGCCAAGGAGATCCAGTGCAAGGACCTCAGGTCCAAGGATGCACTCTACTTCACCTCCAGCTTTTCTCTCTCCTGATGGCAGTGAGATCCCATTTCTGCCTCTAGGAAGGCTGGCAGAGTGACAAAACTAACCAATCCCAACATCAGAGTTCTACACACCTCATTTGCATGGTCCCCCCCAGTAAACCTGTGGAAGTTACAAACACTAGGGCTAGAAAAGCCATACCAAGTGTGGTGGTTATGTTTTTGTGTCAATTTGGCTAGGCCTGGTTGAGTGGCTGGGCAGCTGGATGTAGTATTCCCCATGATGAGACTGGTAATCAACTCCATGGTGGAAGCTACTATGAGCAGCTGAGTAACTGCCTTTGGGTATGGGGTCTGCTTCCTATATATAAGCAGCAGCTTTGGGAATGGTCTCTAGCTTATGGCATGCTTGGACCCTGCATGTAGCCGTGTCGTTGTTCAGCAGCCTGCCATGCTCTGCTGACCTAGGGACTTACAATGGACTTGAATGGCCTGCCAAGTGGTTTTTAACATCGGGACTGTGCCTTTTTACTTGTCAACCTTAGGCTTGGCAGCCTCAGCAGCCAGCAGCTGTCTGAGTGAAGAAAAGCCTCTAGCTTCAGTGGGCTGGAAGCTGGAGACAGAACTGAAGTCCAAGGCTGAGGGGCTTTCACCCAGCCCCTAGAGCCTGGCACTTTGAACTTGGACTTAAAGCCTCCTGAACTGTAAGAGAATAAACTGTTTGTTCAAGCATCTCATTTGTGGTATATTCCTGTCAGAGTGGTACTAAGGTAACCAGAACACCAAGTAATCCACTGCACTGCAATGGAGAAAAACTAAAAGAAAACAGAGGAAACAAAAAATCATCTGTTGATTTTCTCACCCAAATATTTCTATTACAAGCAGTCTGACAGATAGCCAAAGATGTCAATCCAAGATGTCAATGGTGTCAAGGATGGGAAACCTTGCTCTGAAGTCCACATTCTCAATTAGTGGTGATAGCATTCCCATGGAGGCAAAAGTTGGCTTTTGTAAATAGTATATGTGGTGGTTAAGTTTGTGTGTCAATTTGGCTAGGCCTGCATGAGTGGCTGGGCAGCTGGTGGTAGTTACTCCCCATGATGAGACTGGTAATCAACTCCATGGTGGGCTCTACCACAAGCAACTGAGTAACTGCCTTGAGTAAGTGGTCTGCTTTCCAAATATAAGAAGTAGCTTTGGGAACAGTCTCTAGACTATGGCACGCTTGAACCCTGCATGTAGCCATGTTGTTGTTCAGTAGCCTGCCATGATCTGCCAACCTTGGGACTTACAATGGACTAAAATTAATGGCCTGCTGTATGGTTTGGTAACATCGGGACTGTGCCATTTTATTCATTGACTTTGAGCTTGTTAGCCTCAGCAGTGAGTAGCTGCCTGAGGGAAGAGATGCCTCTAGCTTCAGCGGGCTGGGAGCAAGAGGCAGAGCTGAAGCCCAAGGTCGAGGGGCTTTCACACAGCCCCTAGAGCCTGGCACTTGGAATTTGGACTTCTAGCCTCCCAAACTGTAAGAGAATAAACTCCTATTTGTTGAAGTCATCCGATTTATGGTATATTCTTGTCAGAGTGGCACTAGTCTCAAAGGGAGGAACACTCCCACCTGGAGACACAATAATGATTGCATTGAACTGGAAATTAAGAATGTCACCTGGTCATTTTGGCTTCCTCATTCCTCTGGATCAATAGACAAAGAAGGGCATTACTATACTATCTGGTGTGATAGATCCTGATCACCAAGAGGAAATTGGATTGACATTACATAATGGAAGTAAAGAAGAACATGTCTGGAATACAGGAGATTCTTTAGGTTGTCTCTTAGTACTACCATGCCCTGTGATTAAAGTCAATGGAAAATTACAGCAACCCAATTCTGATATGACTACTAATGGCTCAGACCCTTCAGGAATGAAGGTTTGGGTCACCTCACTAGGCAAAGAACCACGACCAGCTGAGGTGCTTGCTGAGGGCTAGGGAAATACAGAATGGGTGGCGGAAGAAGGTAGTTCTCAATACCAGCTATGACCACGTGACCAACTGCAGAAACAAGGACCATGATTGTTATACTTCTTCATTGTATATGTGCATCAAATATTTTTGTTTCCTTCTGTTACGAACTGTGAAATGTAAATAAGGTTAATGAGTTTTGCTAACATGTGTTAGTGTATCATTTAGGTGCAAATATGACTTTATAATTGTCCTTATTTAAAGATTATATATGGTTAAGAAGATGTATACAACTGCCAAGTTGACAAGGGATGGACTGTGATAGTTGGAGCTATGTGTCAATTTGGCTAGACCACAATTTTGTGTGGTTTAAGCAATTGTGATATGGGTTGTTCCCATGATGGGATCAGATGTATATGTTTTGAGCAGCCAATCCATTGAAAGGGAGTTTCCCTAGGGTGTGGCCTGCTTCCAGTATATCTGTGGACATACTGGGAAAAGAGACATTCTTCTGTGGATCGGGATTCTGTTGTGCTGCCTACAACTGTCCGTGAGTGAACAATCCACCATTTGGCCTGGAGATCTTGGATTCATCATTCACTGGAGTCAACAGCCGGTGTACTGCCTGCCAGCTCTGAGCTCCTCAGCCCCTGTGGCTGCAAGAGTCAGGAAAAGCCTCCAGCTTGACGTTTGATCCAGGAACTTTGGACTTGTCAGCTTCTATAAGTGTGTGAGCCATTTTCCTAGGAATAATCTCTCTCTCTCTCTCTCTCTCTCTCTCTTTCATTCTCTCTCTCTCTCTCTCTCTCTCTATATATATAAGCTTTACTGGTTTTGTTTCTCTAGAGAACCCAGTCTAACACAAGGACATCGCATAGCAGGAGAACCTATGTGTTCTCTAAGCATGCAACTAGTAGCGCACTTTAGTTCTAAATCATTGCCAGTTGGAAAAAAACAGATGCTTACAAACAAATGGAAACTAAAAGGGCTTGAAAAGCCACACAAACAAATCACAGTGAAATTCAAATGGAACACTGATTTCTCTAGAGTAGAGGCCAACAAACTTTTTCAACAGAGGGCTAGATCATAAATATTTTGAGTTTGTAGGCCTATATTCTCTGTCACAACTACTCAACATTTGCTGTTATAGTGCAAAAGCAGTCATAGACAGTATGTAAACAAATGAGCTGTATTCCAATAAAACTTTTACTACAAAACCAGGCACTGAACCAAATTTGCCCCACAGGGACTAAAGTTTGTGAGCCCTTTTTCCAGAATATAGACTACAGACTTTTAAAGTGCATTAATCTTTCACAACTACAGGTATAAACAGGGCTATTGCCTCATGGCACATATTCCATTAACTGGATGAAGTAAAATTGTACGTGAAAGTCACCCACTCCTAATTATTTTTCTCCTTAGATATTATCAGTAGGTGTTTGTGGCTTTGCTTACTTTAAGTGTGGTCTTGGTACAAACTGTGATGAACTTCCAAACATGCAAACCATCACAAGTGACACTGGTTTAGCCAATCTCTCCAGAAGAAAAATATCTTTCTTTATACTTGGCTGAATCATAAGGCTTCCTACAGCTCTAAGACAAAAGTGTTAAGGGCCCTAAACACCTTCATGCAGGATTGAGCCTTCTGGCCTGACTCATTTTTGCCCTTGGTGCATAAACACAGCTCCTCCACACACCCCTCAAACTCTAGGGCTTTGGGCACCCAGACAGAATACCGATATTGTGAACTGAGTATAGCCATTATTTTCTCCCCCTTGACCTGAACTGATACAGAGACAGAAACCAGATCTCACAGAAGGCTATACACAGAAACACAGTCTATAAATCCTCTAATTCTTTCTTGTCAAATCCATTGCCCTCTAGTCAATTCCAGACCACTCAGTAGGCATGTGATACAATTTCATGGCTGGCAAGCAGAAGTGTGGGGAGGCTAAGAGAGAAAGATACACCTGGTCAAAGATAAAACTAAGTAAAGGACAAGTACTTCACAACCTGAGGCACCAACTGAGGTTTCTGAGAGTCCAATGAAAGCCAATTAAGTCAACTAGGAAGGCTCGCTGACAGAAGAAGCATGTCTGACAGCTGCACCTTAAAAGACATGGAAGATGATGTACAAAGAATTTTTAATGATATGAAAAAATGCTAATGACATAGGACAAACTGAAAAAAGCCAGATAGGAAATTGGTCACATAGTTTGAACGTTGTAAAAAAAAAAGAAAGAGCTTTGTTTCTGACTGCTGCAGTTTGGGTGACATTTTTTTTCTGTTTTCTTATATTTTTCTGTTCTTCCTAATATTTTCTTAATCATTAAGATGCAAAATGAACAAGGTAGGATTCAGACATGTGGAACTGAGAGCAAGAGAAGGCAGTGGCATCATTAGGGTTGTTGTCACCAGTGCTGTAACTCACTGTGCCACATCCCCTGCCGTGGACCTACTCCCATACCAGACCATACAGAATCCTTAGTTTATTATCAATTTTAATCACAGAATAATATGTGGTAAATGTAATTGTAAACTGCTTAAATATTTCTTAGATTATATGAATATTAACGACAAAATTGTTTTGAAAAAGCTTTCTACATTAAATTACATTATTGTTGTTGTTGTTATATGGCATCAAGTCGGACCCGACTCATAGTAACCCCTCCTTGGGTTTCCAAGGCAGTATCACTATGGAAGTAGATTGCCCACATTCTTAGTTACAGCATTATAAGCAACTGAGCAGAAGCCTTTGTTGACTCTTCTCCTTTTCCTTTAATTACCGGGAGCGCTGGTAGCATAGTGCCTAAGGCATTTGACTGCTAACCAGAAGTCTGGCGGTTCAAACCCACTAGCCACCCTTCGGAAGAAAGAAGGGGCAATCTACTTACATAGTGATACTGCCTCGGAAACCCAAGGAGGGGTTGCTATGAGTCGGGTCTAACTCAATGGCATATAACAAAACAACAACAACATTCTCAAAAAAGTTACTGGTAAGGTTCGCAAATACTGCTAACCACAATATTGTAACTACACAAGAAAAATTTATAAAATCAGTGAGTATAAAAACACCAGCAGTAATGAAAACAACAACATGTGCTGTGCAGATAAAACCATGTGATTCGAAGCATCATTGTAATTGGGTGCTAATAACAGTTCTGCCCAAACCACATTGTTGTTGTTGTTGTTGTTATTTGCCATCGAGTCGGCCCCGACTCATAGCGACCCCTCCTTGGGTTTCCGAGGCAGTATCACTACGGAAGTAGGAATGCCCAACCTTCCTTCCGAGGAGTGGCTGGTGGTTTAAACCGCCAGCCTTCTGGTTAGCAGTCAAGTGCCTTAGGTACTATGCTACCAGAGCTCCAAACCACATCAGAACATTCAAAAAAAGTAAATTAGTATAGAGTTTTACCCTTGTAGGCATATTGACACGTTGTTATAACTAACCACCAAAACTCAAAAACCAAACTCACTGCCCTCAAGTTGATACCGACTCATAGCGACCCCCACTGGGTTTCCAAGGCTGTAAATCTTTACAGAAGCAGATCGCCCCATTTTTCTTCCACACAGAGGCTGGGGTTTGAACCACCAACCTTTTGGTTAGCAGCCAAATGCCTTAACCACTACACCACCAGAGCTCCTTAACTAACTACAGGGATATTTTAATAAAAAAGTATAAATTTATACTGAAATACTACACAAAAGTTTTATAGCAGTCATTTTAGTGTCACTCCCTTTGACAGTGTTACCTGGTTCAGTCCATACACCTTGCACCTCCCAGTGATGCCACTAGAAGGAGAGAAGGGTCATCTCTCAGGGTTCACCATGGTTGCCAGGATAGATACAAGAAGAAATGTCCCCAAGATAGCCAACGGTTGCTCCCCTTTTCAGTTAATACTTGATTATATGTGTCATGGGGTTTCAATAACCAAATGGCAGTAGAAAAGTTGTGAGTAAAAACTGAAAGTAATTCAGTGAGAAGTGGGGACAAAAAAAGAGAAGTTAAAAAAAAAAACAAAAAAAAACGCTGAGAGTAGGAGAAAGTAAGAGGACCAAGTTGTGCAGAGCAAAGGCATATCCAAGTTTAAAACCTGACATCTTCAGACAGGTAAATGTGGCTCCTATAAGGTTAAAGGGCCCTGAGGTGTGACTTGTACACTCCTCTGTGAGCAGCACCCTGGCCCCTCTCTCGAGAAGGCATTTCCTTCTTGAATTGATATGCTGACTAGCTTAGCCCTCTCACCACTCATTTGATCTACATGTGAAGGGCAAAAGAACAGCCATGCTTCTCTGGCCACAATGACCCATCCATACAAACTGTCCCTAGTACTGTTCCTGAGAAGAAACTCTGTACCACACTCCCCTAGGGAGAGCCACACTATACCCCTTGATTTTCTAGGATGCAGTCTGTTTTATGTAACTTTATTCTTTTCAACAGGTCCCTAAATGGTGCAGCCTACACTCAATGACTAATCTAAAGTTGGCAGTTTAAGCCCACCCAGTGGTGCTGTGGAAGAAATGCCTGGTGAACTATTTCTGTAAAGATTATAGCCAAGGATCTTAAAATCTTGTGAGCAGCCATCTAAGATGCAACAATTGGTCCCTCCCTATCCAGAGCAAAGAAGAGTGAATAAAATCAAAGACAAATGGAAATAATTTGTCCAAGGGACTAGTGGACCATGCAAATCTCAGCCTACATGAAACTGAGACCAGAACTAAACGGTGCCTGGCTACTACCACCAATCATTCAGAAAGGGGTAAAAATTGTAGATCCTGGGTAGAGTGGGAGAAAAAATGTGGAACAAAACTCAAAATCAAAAAAAAACCAGACCTCCTGGTCTGATAGAGATTGATGAAACTCCCTAGACTATGGCCCAGAGTCACTCTTCCAGCCTGGAATCCAACTCACTCCCATAGTTTAAATTCCAACCAAGCAATAGACAGGCCTACAATGTAAACAGGGAGCTCTGGTAGCACATAGTGCCTAAGGCACTTCACTGTTAATCAGAAAGCTGGCGGTTCAAACCTACCAGCCACTTCTCAGAAGGAAGGTTGGGCAATCACTTCCGTAGGGATACCGCCCTCGGAAACCCAAGGAGGGGTCAACTCAACAGCACATAACAACAAAACAACAACACAAGGTAAATAACTACACCAGGGAGATGCACTCTTTAGAAAAATCAAGCATGGGAGCTCAGAAGGGCAGCATTTGCATAGAGAGATAGCTCAGAGGGCAGGAATACATAGGAAAGAAGACTCAGGGAAAAGGTTACCACAGGGAGGGAGTGGGAAGAGAGCTGTTACATTGTTGGTATTGCAATCACTGTCATGGAACAAAATGTGTATGAACTGTTGAGTGGAAAAGGAATTTTACCCATATCACAATTTTAAAAGAAGAAAAAGAAAACATTATGGAGTAGTTCTACTCTGCAACACATGGAGTCACCATGAATCAGAACTGATTCAACAGCAAAGGGTTTGTTTTTTGATTCTTTTCAGTAAGAGTATCCTTAGTAAATGTCCAGTAAACATGGCTCTACATTAGAGTCTTTTCACTTAAGTAATTTTACAAATATTAAAAATCATTGACAAAGTACCCCTGTTTTTCATCTGGAAAATACTTGTCCAATAATATACCAGTCCTTTTGCAGGGCAAAAAAAAAAAAAAAAAGGAAGGAGAATGGGGGCAGGAAGCAGATAGAAAACATAATGGCCCCATTTACAATATCCCTTTCCATACCAACATGAAATTTTTTTTTTTTTTAATTGTGATTTGGGTGAAAGTTTACAGAGCAAATTCACTTTCCATACAGCAGTTCACATACATGTTGTCTGATGACATTGACTACAATTTACCCCAATGCAACACCTCCCCTCCCACTTCCTCCCAATAGTTACCTCTTCCCTATCCCCACAATCCCTCCATGTACTCCTGCCCCCTGAACTGTCTCCCTGTACATAAACAGCCCTTCTTTCTCCCATGATTGTTCTCTCCAAGGGATATATCTACCTCAGGTACACTGAACTGACTGTCTTACCAATGTAGACACCAAAGTGTTATGATGCATGCCACATCCATGCAACCAGAGGTAATATGGCATAAGACAAAGGAAACAGGTTATAGGCTAAGTGGACCTAGGGTACAAAATAATTCTGCCACCTGCCAGCTGGGTGACCTGGGCTAAGTCACTTTTATATCTTTGAACTTCTTCATCTAAAAGGAGAGTGTTGTTGGAAGAATCAAATAACATGTGTAAGGTATCCAGCAGAGAGCCTGGCATCAAGTAGGCACTCAAAAATGGCAATGCCACCATAAAAAGCAGTTTAAAATAAAACTACCATCTGTGGCATTATCTCTTAAAGAAAGAGACGTTTGAGGCTTGGTCTGTCCTATCATGTATACAATGTGGGTAGATGAAAACCTTCCTCCCACCGCCCATGGTTACCTGCACTGTTATTATTGGCCCTCCATTCTGGTAGAGGAGAGGTTTTATCTTGGGCAGAAGCACTCCCAACCACTTGTCCACAGCTGCAAGGTAATCTGGAGAAGACAGGTTTAACACCATCATACACCTTTTCATATGAAGAGACACCAGTGAAGTATTATTGCACTGAGGGTGGCAGCAGAGATGGGGATATACCTAAATTCAACAACTACATTCTCGAGTGGGGCAATCACACACATTAAAGGACTCATAAAAGTTGTTCTGCAAGGTAGTTAGGTAGTTATCTCCTCAACCGAGCTCCTCAGTGGATAAGGACCCTTATGCCAGGTATCTGTCCTTGCTACTAGGTCACAAAGCTTGGTGTCCAGCAAGGAACCATTAAGTAAGTATTTGTCAAATGGTTAGAAGAGTGGCTAGAGTTTCCATTTCTCTACCACAGTAGGTGTTTTGTTTTGTTTAAATTAAATTTTAAGAAGTTATATATTTGTACCGTCAAATGGGAAATAAGTACTACTTTATAAAGTTGCTGTGATGATTAGAGGAGATAATACATGTAAAAGCATAACAATATACCAAGAGAACAAAACATGAAGGTAATATAATAAAAGGGAAATCCACAAAGTATCAAATACTAGCCTTTCATACAGTGAACTGAGTAAATTTTAGCTGTGACTGAGATAATCTTCACCACTAACCACCCTCTCCACCATCACCAGCAAGAGAAACCGGAGCCTTCAAAAGACAGAAATGCAACTAGGGACCTTCTGACCGTTTGGGTTTACAGCAAAATAATCTCTGGTGGTTTAGAAAGACAAGAAAAAACTATCATTTTCTTATCACTTTGTAAAAATAAACAAAGAAATAGAAGGCAATGCAGCTACCAAACAATCCAGTGACATTATCTGCCATTTTCATGAGGTAGGTGCTATCCCTGGTAGGATAATATACTAAGAGTATAGGAAGAGAAGCAGTAAACTCCTTCTAGTAAAGATATTAAGGTCAACCGCAAACAGGGCTCAATGCCACTTCAACAAGTCACCAGTTTTATCAGCAAGATCTGGTCAAATAGTTCAAAATAGTCTAATTTCCTATATGTTCAATGGCTGGTGCTACACGATAGACGGTGACTAACACTTAGACTTTCACTAAACTCCCATTAGTGTTTGAACAGAAGTATCTCAGCCTTCAAAATATCTGATCCTTTCCGTATAAACTGTCTAAGCTTTCACAAATTCTCCCAAGACATCAGTAACAACTTACCTAGGTCAGAAGAACGGAGAATAATAGATTCTTTCTCTAATAGCCAAGCAGGTAATCCCCCCTAGGAAAAATTTAAAAAAATAAATAAACAAAGGAAGCAAGCCATTTTAAGGTCTATTTCATCAAAGGAACTCAGAAGAGGGAAAAGCTTCATGGAAGAGGTATATTTGAGCTGGATTTTCTGATTTATATCTTTTATGGAACTCAGAAATTAGAACACAGTGAAAATGACATCCATCTGCATTGATATAATGTTTAGCTAACCAAAGCCCTTTTGTATAGATTTATCTACGGAAATACTGCATCAGAAACCCAAGGAGAGGTGGCTATGAGTGGGATCTGACTCAACAGCAGGGAGTTTGGGGGTTTTTTTGGAATTTCACAACTACCCTTTGAGGTAGTCAGAGGAGACACCATTAACTCCTTTTTATAGTCTAAGCACCTCTGGAAGACGAGGTCCCTAGGTTGGAAGGCACTACATAATAGCTGCAAAAATGGACTCAAACATGCCAACAACCATGAAGATGGCACAGGACTGGGCAACGTTTTTTTTTTATGTCATCCACAGGGCTGCCATGGAGCTGACTTACCAGCAACTAACAGCTAAGGGCTTCTCTATGCTGAAAGACATCTATCCTGGATACAGTCACAGGTGCTATGTCATCAAGAATTAGATTTTTATCTAAACTGCTTTGTTCACTTTCCCCCAGATCCCCTGCCAGCCCACCCCTGTTCACACACACCAGGCAGGCACAAACCCATCTAGCCACACTCACCATATCCCACTCTGCACAGATGTAAGGCCCAGGCCTCAGAATAACCAGCAGTCCCATGTCATGAGCCAGCTGAATAAAATGTTCCACATCATGGTCATCAGAAAACTGGTACTGTCCTGGTTGGGGTTCGTGGAAGTTCCAGGGTACATACCTGCAAAGACACACACAACCCCTTCCTAGAACACTTGGCAGAGTAAAGAAGAAGGGGTGGAAGAGAGGACCTTCTTGTAACTATTGCTAATACACTTATGATAAGAGGGAAAAGAAAAAATGAGGACACCATAAAGAAGAGTTATCTAAAACTTGGTAATAAGACAAAAAATATTTCCTTTTAATGTCATATTGGAACATTGTCAAACAGACCTACCCAAGGCTTATTTCATTCTCTAGGGAATATATTTTTGTCTGACTTAGTATTTATATCTATGGGAATTGACTTTAGTGAAGGAGAAATGAGACAAATTAGTGGCTCAGGGTATTGAGCACTGAGCTATAACAAGTTTTTGCAGTCGTTTAGGTGCCCCTCTCAGCACCTGGGGGAGCTCTGGTAGCATAGTGGCTAAGACACTTGTCTGCTAACCAGATGGCTGGCGGTTCAAACCCACCAGCCACTCCTCGGAAGGAAGGTTGGGCAATCCTACTTCCGTAGTGATACTGCCTAGGAAACCCAAGGAGGAGTCGCTATGAGTCGGGTTTGACTCAACGGCACATAACAACAACAACAAGGGCAAGATACTGTAAGGTTACAGATTATGTTGCAGATTTTTGCCTGACAGACATGCAAATGATTATTGTCACAGAGAGAAGATAACCACAAAAGTTACAGCTTCACTGTCTTTTAGAGCATTAATAGGTCTTGTTAAAGATAAATTTATTTCAGCACACCTTTCTTGAGTGATTCTATGAACCTCTGTTCTGCAAATTCTTCTTTGTAGCTGGGTCCTTGGAACCCGGTGTCCCAAATCTAGACAGGTCCCAAGGTCATTCTACCAAAGGCCTTAATAGCAGCTTCACTATCCAGCTAGTTCTCTCATGAATGAGTTCCTATGGATTGAATTGTGTTCCCAAAAAAGATATATTAAAGACTTAACCCCTGTAAGTTTAAATATGACCCTGATTGGAAATAAGATTTTTCTTTTGTTATACTGATGGTGACATACTGGAATAGTTGTCATTGTTAGGTGTTGTCAAGTCTGCTCTGACTCTTGGTTGGAAAATTTTTCTTTCAGGGTTTTATATATATCATCCTCTTGTCTTCTTGCCTGCATAGTTTCTGCCAAAAAATCCAAGCTTAGTCTTATTGGTTCCCCCTTGTAGGTAACTTTTCACTTTTCCCATGGTGCTGTCAGGATTATTTCTTTGTCTTTTGTTTTGGTGAGTTTGATGATGATATGTCTTGGTGATTTTCTTTTGAGATCTATCCTGTTTGGGGTTCATTGGGCTTCTTGAATGGATATATTATCATACCAGGAAAATTCTCTTTCAACAAATCTTTGGCAATTTTCTCCGTGGTTTTATTTGTCTCTTCCTGTTCTGGAATTCCAATTACATGAAGATTATTTCTTTTGATGGTATCCCACATGAACCTTAGGCTTTCTTCATTCTGATCATTTTTCGGATTGATCCCTTTCCAAAGAAGTACTCAGATATTTGTCTTCAATCTCACTAATTCCATCTTCCATTGATTCAATTCTACTCCTTTGCCCTTTACATGTGTTATCTATTTCTGAAAATTTTGTATTAATCTTTTGGCTTTCTCTCTGTAAATTTTTATCATTTCTAATTTTTCATTTATTTTGTCATTTTGGTCTTGTATTGCCTTTTGATATTGTTCTAGGGTTTTCTTTGTGTTTTCCTCAATTTTGTCAGTATTGCCTTGATCTGTCTCTCAATCTTTTAACGATATCTAAATACAAATCTTTGAATTCCTTATCAGGGAGTTCCAATGCTGCTTCTTCCTCAGGGATGTGTTCTGGGTGTGTATCCTGGTCCCTTGTTTCTCCTGTTTTATCTTGCTTCTTTGTGTGGACTGGGATGCTCTGTTGTCTCTGAGACATTGTGACATTTTTGTGTTTATATGTGATTGGTGATTGTATGTTGGAGTGATTTGCCCAAGATTTTCATTTTCTTTATTTTATTTGGATTTTATCTAAGTAATCAAGATACTGTGCACCTCTATTCGCTAGTTGACAGCACGTATACATTCACCACCTGTCTCCTTTCCTGTCGTCAGCCTCCCTTATGAACCTGCTGTCCTTGGCAAGCAGAGCCTATTCTTAGGTCCCTAGAATCCAAATGAGAATGCTGTCACTTTAAATATCCAAAACAGCCACCTCCTAAAAACCTTCAAAGTGGCTGTGCCCTCAGTCACTTTAAATTTCCAAAATGGCCACCACTTGTAAATAATCAAAATGGCTGTGCCCTCCAGACAGCTGCAAGTCCACAGCTCAGGTTGTTCCCCTCTTTGCTGTTTCCCTTCCTCATCACTGGCCACCAGCGCAGTCATCCCTGCAGTCCTTGGTGACTAGGGCTGATCTGTAGGTCAATTCCCAGGTCCCAACACCATGTGCAAATATTCAGGCTGTTGGTGCCATCAGAGTAGCTGACAGTCCTCAGCTCCATCTGTCTCCGTACTCACTCTTTTCATTCAGGTTCTTCCACTAGTTGGTGCCTAATCCACTTCTGTATACTTCCTTTCACAGCTCAAGGCTCCAGGATTATCTTCTATATTGCTGTCAATTGGTTTCTCTTTTCTTTGTTAAAGAAGGTCTGTGTCGCTTGTCTGCCTATTCTGCCATTTTACCAGAAGTCCTCTAGTCGCTCTGACTCATAGCGACCCTATGTACAACAAAACAAAACACTACCCAGTCCTGTACCATCTTCACAATATTTGCTATGCTTGAGAACCTTGTCACAGCCACTGCGTCAATTCATCATGTTGAAGGTCTTCTTCTTTTTCGCTGACTCTCTACCAAGCACAATATCCTTCTCTAGGTCCCTTCTAACAGTATGATCAAAGTATGGGAAACAAAGTCTAGCCATTCTCACTTTTAAGGAGCATTTCAGCAATAACAAGACAAATCTGTTTGCTCTTCTGGCAGACCACCATGGTATTTTCAGTATTCTTTGCCAACACTACAATTCAAATGCATCAATTCTTCTGCAGTCTTCCTTATTCACTGTCTAGCTTTCATAGGCACAATGGCTTATTTTAATTTTCTTCAACTTCAACTTGAACTTGCACAGGAGTAACTGATGGTCTGTTACACAGCTCCTGGCCTTGTTTTGAATGATGATATTGAACTTCTTCATTGCCTCTTTCCACAGATGTAGTCAATTTGATTACTGTGTTTGCCATCGGGAGAGGTCCACGTTTATGGCTGTCATTTATGTTGTTGGAAAAACAAATATTTGCAATGAATACGTCGTTGATCTTCCAAAATTCTATCATGTGGTTTCTGGTGTCATTTCTATTACTAAGGCCATATTTTTAAATTAGCGATGATTCTTCTTTGTTTCTAACTTTTGCATTCCAATCACCAGTAATTATCAATATATCTTGATTGCACGTTTGGTCAATTTCAGACTACAGAATATTGGAACACTGGAATAGGGTGAGTCCTAAACCTCCAGAGTCCTAATCCCTTCTGAGTGGTGTCTCATAAAAAGGGAAAAAAAGACAATGGAGAAACACACGGGGGATGATGCCATGTGAGAATCTATTAGCCAAGGTATGCCAAAAAACACCCATGGCTGTGAGAAAAGTGACAAGGAATTATCTTTTCCTAGAAACAGACACAGCACAGCTCAGCTCTGTCAAAGGCCTAAATTTAGATTCCTAGCCTCCAAACTGTGAGACAAATTTCCGTTCTTTAAAGATAGCTACCTGTGGTATTTTTGTTATGACAGCTCCAAGTAATTAAGACATGAGTTAAATAAATTTTGACACATGTTCACTGCATATTTGTTTATGAGTCATATTTTTAGCTTTTATACTTTTACTTTGTATATAATAATTGTAGAAGGTAGATATAGGTCAAAAATCCAGATCCCCTCCATGGATTTCTGCAGAACTATAAATCCACATGACACACAAACCTCTCCCTCTGGTAGCCTCTCAGAAGGAGGCTTTGTTATGAGTTTTCATAGCAAATTACACAAGATAATGAAACTTGGTGGGGACACTTTTCAGTTTATGATGCACAAAGAACCTCACTGCCATTTAATACATCTCTTTTAAAAAAGAGAAATAAATAAAAATGATGGCATGTTAACTTGAAAGTTTACTGAAACTGTAACATAAAAGACAATAATAATAATTTCAACATGGTGTAAACTTTCAAAAGGTAGAAATAAATACAAAATTATATAAATACTAATTATAACTAAGCAAAAGTTAATGTACGCTTGTGTAGGTTTAGGAAAAATGAAATATCTATATTAAAGTAATAAGAGGTATATTTATATATGTTGTTGTTGTTGTTGTTAAGTGCCGTCGAGTCGTTTCCGACTCATAGCGACCCCATGCACAGCAGAACGAAACACTGC